TTTCGGACTTAGGCTGACTTTGAGTGAGGGCTGGGTAAATGCCCTTGGAGGGCTGTATCTGGCCCCTAGGCCTTAGTTTGGGGACCCCTGATCTAAACAATAGAAAGAAATAAGTGATTCACTTGTTCTTCTCTTTGTTTTACAAATCCTGAAGTTGTAATTTTATTTTTCCTTCTTGCATTGCTTGACAGATTCAGATGAAGGTTGCACCTCTGCCTTTGATAGGAATGGAGGGCAGTTAGCAATCTGGGCTCCTATGGCCTATCTTGTTATAACATATTTCTTGCTAAATCAACCGGGCTGTCTTGGGGTTTTTCCCCCCCATTATTCTTCAATTTCCTTTTCCTTTCTTTCTCTCTCTCTTTCTCTGAAGTATCTTCCATTTAATGTTTGTGTTGTAGCCACAGAGGTCGCTGAGGTTACCTCTTCAGAAGACTTGTTTTTCTCAGGATGGTTCTTGTGGCCACAGCATGTTTCATTGGGCAGCAGGTGATGTGTTTCAGGTGCCCCAGGACAGAGGACAAAATAGCAGGTCCTCTTCACTTTTAAAGCAGCTGCCTTGAGCGATACAAAGACTTCTGTAAATTAGAAAATATCCCAAAGATGATACACAACCTCTTTCTATTGAGAGAGAGGATCCTGCAAAAGAGGAAAGATGCCATTTGGGAGTCTGCGTTCCTGCCTGCACTGCAAATCGAGTTACAGATGTCTGGCAGGAGGCATTACTGTGAAAATGAAAAGTCCTTAATGTAGTAAAGGGAGTTTTTTCCAACTAAAACAATTATTTGAATTGTGCACAGTATCATACTTCACAGTGGTTCTTGGACTGTGAATGGATAACTCTGTGGCTTTGCTCCTCAGAACAAGTGTGATTAGGAGCTCTTCCAGCTCAGGGTCTAATCTATTTCTAAGGGCTGTTCAGTCCAGTAATTGGGTTTTGAAAACATTTCTTTCCTTCCCAAAATATATCAAGAAAATCTAATTGCTGCCATGCTTCGTTTGTTGCTGACCTCTCTACTTTGCTATATAGAACTGTCTGGGAAAAAATGCTTTCAATTTATTCTTTGTAATCGAAATCAAGGGGTCTGGGCCACTTCTTCCTCCAGCCTTTGTACCTTTGTAGATCAAAGTTCCCAGGAAGGGATAAGATGGGAAAGATTATCTGTGTCAAGTCCAGCCTGGACTGCTTTATAGTTACAAGGAAGGGGGCGGGGGGAGGAGAGATGCGGCCATGAAGGAAATAGATAATATCTTCAAGTGTAAAGAAAAATCATATCATTTGGTAGAATAGTCACAATAATCCCAGTCATGTTTTGATTTCTGTGTATTTTTGAACTGTGAAGCTGTACTTGAAGAGAAGGAAGCAGATAGGGAAAATATAAACTAATTCTAACTATGGTGCTAAAGAAGTTTTCTACAAATACCATGTTATTGTTCACTCGTTCAGTCGTCTCCGACTCTTCGTGACCTCATGGACCAGCCCACGCCAGAGCTCCCTGTTGGCCGTCACCACCCCCAGCTCCTTCAAGGTCAGTCCAGTCACTTCAAGGATGCCATCCATCCATCTTGCCCTTGATCGGCCCCTCTTCCTTTTACCTTCCACTTTCCCTAGCATCATTCCCTTCTCCAGGCTTTGCTGTCTCCTCATGATGTGGCCAAAGGACTTCAACGTTGTCTCTAGTATCCTTCCCTCCAGTGAGCAGTCGGGCTTTATTTCCTGGAGGATGGACTGGTTGGATCTTCTCGCAGTCCAAGGCACTCTCAGAACTTTCCTCCAACACCACAGCTCAAAAGCATCTCTCTTCCCTCTGCTCAGCCTTCCCTAAGGTCCAGCTCTCACATCCGTAGGTTATTACAGGGAATACCATGGCTTTGACTAAGCGGATCTTTGTTGCCATGGACTACTAAAAAGACAAGTGAATGAACCTGAGAGCAAATCAAAGAGTAGTCAAGGACTTGTCTTTTTCTCATTTTTCAGGGATGGGCAGAAGGCAGGCCTTGGTCTATTGCAGTGGTTCTTAGCCTGTGGTCCATAGAACACCAGTGGGCCATGAGGATGAACATCTGGTCCGCCAACCTCCTTCCTCTTTATTTTATTTTATTTCAACTCCTTTTATTTCTAATATTTCCATCCTGTTCCTTCTCAACCCTCGAAGGGGGACTCAGGATGGCTTACATTTGACAGCAATTTGATGTCACATCCTTATGCCCAGAGAACGGGGGAAATTTTGAGGGCCGGACATAAGGGCCCAGAGGGCCATGTCCAGCTCATGAGCCTTAGTTTGCCCATGCCTGCTATAACACAATCCAGCAAGGAAATAATCTCTCCAACCTGTTTTATGACTAGAAGGGGGGCATTTTTCCAAAGCCAGAAATGAATTAAAGTTACTCAGAGGCTGCATGAGACCAGTGGGTTACATTTTCCCCACATTTGGTCTCGTACAGGGTTTCTCTTTTACTTTTTCAATTGCAATATGCTTTTTAATGGTTTAAATTATTTTATTGGTACACCACTCTGAGATCCTTTGACAGAGGCTTATATAGAAATATTTTTATGCATGAAAACCAACACACTTTAGGCTTCATTTCACCTCTGTCATTCTTAGGACAGCACTGGTTTCCAGTTTGCAACTTGTAACATGGAACTGTAGTTTTAACTATTCTCTAGCTTCAGTTGTGCAGTTAATCTCTCTCTCTCTCACTTACTCTGTGTGTGTGTGTGTGTGTGTGTATTGCAATGAACAAACAAATATGTGGCTTCGGTCCACAACTCTGCAATGAGAGCCATACAACTGTAACATAGTGAAGTATTGAGTACCATATCTGTTGCCTAAATAACACAATAATCCTTCATAGCTGCAATTTCCTGGTATTTTGGAGCTTAGATGTGTTGAGCTAAAATGATATTTGTTAATTAAATACACTTCCTAATGGTTTTTGTATACTCATAAGAGAGGCAGTTAGCCAATAACATAAAACACATCTCAACAATTCACCATCTCATATTCAAATTTAGTTGATTTGTTATATTTGTCTTCTTTTGTAGTACAAGCATTTACAGTACTTGCATTCCACTGATACCTGTCAAGGTCCTTTATATCCAAGTGTGCATGTATTTTCAGAACAAGATACTTTAAGATTTGCCATGTCAGCACTCCTTAGGTTTTCCGATAATTTGTACAACAGATACCTTAGCAGTATATTGTATATACTCTTGTATAAAACACCTTCATGTATAAATCAAGGATGGGTTTTAGGGTCAAAATTATGGATTTTGATATGACCTTTGGACAAGTCAAGAGATATTCTACAGAGAAGGGAAATGCCACCATAGTGGGCCAGCCGCTGGCTGCCACCACCATGTCCTCACCTGGGCATTCAGAAAGACATTTTACTCAGAGGAAGAAATAGTTCCTTTTTTGAAAAGTGTTAAGTTACAGTACTCACATTGACTGAAGAATAAGTCAAACCAGGGTATTGGGATTATTTATTTATTTATTTATTGCTATCTGGACATACATGAGTATATAGCAGGAATGAGCAAACTTTGCCCCTCCAGGTGTTTTGGACTTTAACTCTCACAATTCCTAACAGCTTGAAGTTGAAGTCCAAAACACCCGGAGGGGTGAAGTTTGCTCATGCCTGCTATGTCCCACCCCGCAGTTTAAGATCATCCATCTAGGTCTGCTTTCGATCCCGCCAGTGTTGCAAGTTCATCTGATGGGGACAAGAGACAGGGCCTTCTTGGTTGTGGCCCACCACCTATGGAACTCACTTTTCAACTAGATAAGATCGGCCTCATCCCTCCTGTCTTTTAGGATGAAATTAAAATTGTGTTTCTGGGACCAGGCTTTTGGACAGCAGGCATAATAGCACTTTGGATGTGGATTCAACTGGAATGGCGATACAGCTGACATTACTGTTTTTATGGTTTTAATTAATGCTTATTGTTTTTAATGTTGTTTTATTATATTTGTTATATGTAATGGCATCAAATTGTTTCCAAGTGTAAGCCGTCCTGAGTCCCTCTTTGTAGGTTGAGAAGGACAGGGTAGAAATTCTAGAATTATATCATATGTGTTGGACATGTAAAGAAATAGTAAAATATTGGTCGATGGTACATGAAGAAACACAAAAAATCCTGAAGAGAGTATTCAAGAAGAAACCAGAATATTACCTATTAGGTTTCACAGACTTAGAATTACAATTAGATGAAAATGAAGACAAACTATTCACTGATATTATGATGGCGGTGAGAATATTTTTGGCAAAACTATGGAAACAGGACAGTATCCCTACCGTTGAAGAATGGTTAGGGAAAATTAGAGAAATAAGAGAGATGGATGAACTAACTTTTTTTTTTTGAAAAAAAAATACTGGGAATCCGATAAAGAGGACAAATTGGATCCTCTATGATAATTATGAGAAAGAAAGAAGTAAATAAGAAGAACATTTTAATGTGGAAGTAATGGAATATTGTTAATTTTTGGAGACATAACATCTGATGAGGAGATGGAAGTCAACTCTTTTTTTAATTTTTATTTTTAATTGTTTATTTTCTCTTTTTTGTCTTGTTTTTTTTTGGATTTTGGATTTTTGGACTCTTGGTGGGTTTTCCTTTTTAAAAAAATCTTGGGGGTGGTGGTGGTAATGCTTTCTATCTTTTCCTACTGTTCTATTTTCTTTTAAATATTCACCCTCTTTCATTGTAATTTTCAAATATTTTAATAAAAAACTATTTTTTAAAAAAGAAATTCTAGAAATAATAATAATAATAATAATAATAATAATAAATAGATATACTCATGTATGTCTAGATAGCAAAAAAAAAAGTTTGCCCATGCCTGCTATATAAGGTACATAATTTTAAAGACAACTGATTTCAGTTTAGTTGATTGTTATCTTGACCTTTAGAGAAAATTCTTCCGTACCTAGCTGTGCTCAAAAACATTATTAGAAACACAACAGGGCTCTTAATTGTCTGAAATTTGATTTTTCAGAACAAGATTATTTTAGACCCCATGACATTCAGTGAAGCCCGATTTCGGCCATCTCTGGAAGAGCGATTGGAGAGTATTATCAGTGGTGCGGCCCTCATGGCCGACTCATCCTGCACTCGCGACGACCGCCGGGAGAGAATCGTGGCCGAATGCAACGCTGTGCGACAGGCCCTCCAAGACTTGCTTAGCGAATACATGAATAATGTAAGTGAAGAGCTGCTTTCGATTTCTTATTCCTCAAAGTCCTACTATATATTGCTAAAGATACATGCACTTTGCATTTATAGTTTTCACCCATTTCCCAAAATGAAGTCAATTAAAATAATGCAGAGATGACAGTAGATTGATTCCTTTTGGAAGAATACTCCAAGGCATGCTATGAAGACACAATAGGCTTGTCTTAGGAAATTTGGCTCTGGTAAGGAGTATACACTGCTGTTAGTGATGTTGATGTTGGTGTTTGTTACCTGGAAATAAGAGAAGAATGAGACAAACAAACTGGTTTATAATAGTGTTCCCTGAAAGTGATCAGAAATACATTATGCGTATGTGCCATTCCTCCAACACCATTGTAGACCAAATGCATTCTTCTGAACTGTATCAGAAACTTTGGTTTCTCTGAAGTAACCAAATGCATTGGCCCATTTTGTGTGTTTTTGAAAAGCTCACTAGAAGTTTAGAAAGTCAAGTCAGATGATAAATTATTATTTTTCCTTTTGTGGTGTAATTTCTTTCATCATTAACTGCTGGGACAGATGTGAGAACTCTGTGTTTGTATGTGGGAGAAAACAGCGAAAACATAAAGGAAGTATCGCTGTTTGCTAACAGTCTAATTGGAGCAATTAAGTTGTGTGTGTGGGTTCCCTACAGCTTCCCAGTCATTTCTATCATGATGGCATTGTGCACAATGAAATATTTGAAACCTCAAGTGCAGAGGTTGGAATGCCAAAGAACAGCAATTACAGTATTTTCTTGAGGGAGTTCATATTATATTATTCAAAATCTAGCCATTCCAGTGTGAGGGATAATCATTTTCCTTGATGAATGTATCACAACCATTTCTAGATTCTGCCCTTAAATGTCTTTTTGGGCAAAATATTAATAATTCCCTTTCTCGAAATGCATGACATAAGAACATAGCCATTGAGTTAATATTCAGTGTACTGCAGAGAAATTGCTTCGCTTCTTGTCAAGAGTTCTGTTTGTTTGAATAATAAAACATTTCCTACTTCAAGTTAATCACGACTAATGCTATAGAATTTTTTTCCCCCAAAGGGCAATATAGGTCTTTTGTGATATTTCAAATGCTTGTTTTCTTGAGGACTACCGGTGGAAATATTATGCCTTTTTATGTTCTGAATAAGAAAAGGACAAAAGGTGAAAATCTGCTTTGCTATTTTGAACTGCGTTTACCAAAATGAATTGTACTCTCTCGTGATAAATTGCATTGTGAATTGGTTTTTCTCGGCACTTCTTCACCCCACTACATTCAAGTATCCATATTCTTCAATTGGTTTTTAAAATGCATGGAAATGATGTTATTTATTACATTGCCCTTGTGAAAACCAATAACAGGTAGTGTAAAAAAAAAAGAGAGAGAAAAACCTGAAGTGTCTTCTCATTGCTTTATTTTATATATGACAGCAAACCTTATTTTTGATACAGTGGATCATTTTTATCATTTACTCAGATGGAGTTATCTTCACGGAAACTCTTTTCGGGTAAAGAATTAAGAGGCAGAAATGGTGTTTTGTGTTTTATCAAGTGACATTTGAGATATTTGAGTGTAAATGACAATAAAAGCAGGAAGTGGGTTTATCTTGAGGTGAAAGCTATAAAGAGATTGAGTTAAATAACAGGTGAAGATGATGATTTGAGACGTGCCATTTTGGCATCGCTATCTGTATAGTCTTGTCTCACATAAATATTGCTTTGGTTGAAACCCTAAAACACAGTTCATGGGCTGATTGATTGTTTTCATCTATTACTTGTGGCATCTGTTGTTATGAGCAAACCTTGGCAAGAGTGGAACAGATTTACCCTTCCGTATAAAAATTTGCTTACTTTATTGGTACTTCTGGGGAAATCTTTACCATTTAAATGTTTGACATACAAATGTATGTGTATATATCATAACGGCAATCAACCATGTGTGCGTTCCTTCAAGCTGCCTGTCAACTTATGACAACCCCATTAATTTAATAGGCCTTTTAAAGGCAAGGAGTACTTAGGGGTGGTTTTGTCAGTTCCTTCATCTTAAATACAGCCTGCACACCTGGTACTTATTGGCAGTCTGTCTTCCAAATACTTCCAAATACCTTATGTCTCTTGCAAGATCAGGCAAGGTTTGGTGCTTTTAGGAGAGTCTTCATGGACATGGAGTTCCAGCTTCAGTATAGTGTTGCTGGTGAGAAACCTTCTCATTTGGTGCCAATCATGTTATCTTTCACAGAGCTTGCACAAAAGTTGATATTGGAAAATATATACCTCAACAAAAGTGTATCACAAGTTATGAAGAGCTTTAAGGACCAAAAATGGGTTTCTAAAATGAAGTAGGAACAAGTTTGGTGTATTTCAGATGGAATAAGTTGTCCCCACTGAGCCATCTTGGTCAAACTTGAATTTCATTTTCTAATCAGTCCTCAAGGAGTTGTCAAAGGCTTTCATGGCTGGGATCACTGGGTTGCTGTGAGGTTTCTGGGCTGTATGGCCATGTATGCGGTCATGCTGGTCACATGACCTTGGAGGTGTCTATGGACAACGTTGGCTCTTCGGCTTAGAAATGGAGATGAGCACCACACCCCAGAGTCAGACATGACTGGACTTAATGTCAGGGGACAACCTTTACCTTTATGGCCATGTTCCAGAAGCATTATCTCCTGAGGTTTCACCCACATCTATGGTAGGCATCCTCAGGGGTTGTGAGGTCTCGACTTCTGAGGATGCCTTCCATAGATGTTGGTGAAACATCGGGAGAGAATGCTTCTGGAACATGGCCATACAGCCCAGAAAACTCACAGCAACCCAATCCTCAAGGACTTTGCATGCACACTTCGTCATAAAACTTGAAAATAGCATTGAACAAATGTTGTTCTTACCCATTATCTCTCAGAGCGTGTTAATGTACATATACATATTCTGCATATGTGTGCCTTTCACAAAAATGAACCATAAGCAAATTGGAATCATGACCTCACATTCACATAGGACTACCTAAAAGAGTCATTTTATGGAGCACAGAGCAACAAAAATATATACAATAATTGTACTGGAAATAGCAAATCCCATTGTGTGTTTTGTTGAAGGCTTTCATGGCCAGAATCACTGGGCTGTTGGCCTGAAAAACCTACAACAACCCATCATGTGTTTATGAGGTCCTTCAAGTCACATGTCGTAGAGCTTTGTATATGGCAAATGGAAAATGAGCTAATGAGATTCTCTGCCCCAAGTCCTAGATTGTATGGGAGAGAGTGATTTTAGGGTAGGCGAAGCAGAAATTTCAGCAAGAAGCCCCTAGTGCAGAATATATAATTGGTGCTTTAGGTAGATTGTAATCCGAGAACTAATGTGAATTTGGGATCACTTTTCAGCATCTCAGGAAATGGAATAATGGTTGCATCAAGGTTCTTTAAAACTGAGGAATTTATTACTAACGAAAGGAATCATTGTGAAGGCCCCCATCTACACTGCCATATAATGCAATTTAGGGTAGGCTGAACAGAAATTTCAGTAAGACGCCCCTAGTGCAGAATATATAATTGGTGCTTTAGGTAGATTCTAATCCAAGAACTAATGTGAATTTCAGATCACTTTTCAGCATCTCAAAAAATGGAATAATTGCTGCATCCCAAAGTTCTTTAAAACTGAGGAATTTATTACCTATAAAAGGTATAATTGTGAAGGTGCCATGTACACTGCCATAAATGCAATTTAAACTGTATTACCATATATACTCAAGTATAAGCCGGCCCAAATATAAGTCGAGGCACCTAATTTTACGACAAGAAACTTGGAAAATGTATTGACTCGAGTATAAGTTGAGGGTGAAAAATGCAGCTGCTACTGAAAATCATCAGTAGGTTAAACTTTTTTGTGTATTTACATAAAACTGTAATTTAAGATAAGACTATCCAACTCTGATGAAACCATTATTGTAATCTTCTTCAATGTCAATGTGCTTACGTATCCTTCTAATAATAATAGAGTAAAATAATAAATGTAATAATAATAATAATAATAATAATAATAGAGTAAATAATGGAAATTTAATAACAGTAATAGAGTAAAATAATGTAAAGGTAATAATAATACATAGAGTAAAATAATAAACGTAATAAAATAATAGTACAGTAAAATAATGTAAAGGTAATAATAATAAATCGGGTAAAATAATAAATGTAATAAAATAATACTAATAACAGAGTAAAATAATAAATAACCTTGACTCGAGTATAAGCCTAGGAGAACTTTTTAGCCTAAAAGGGGGGTTGAAAAACTAGGCTTATACTCAAGTAAATACAGTATATGTTTAGTGTAGACTCATATACTGAGATTGAATTGGACATGAGTCTACACTATCATATAATTGAGTTCAATGCACTTCTGCATTCTGAAACTGCACTATATGGCAGTGTGTATGGGTTTTCAGAGATATTATCCAGATTTTAATAAAAGGTAGTAATGTCTCATACAAGTTCTTACAAAAGATATCACATAAGTTTTCAACTGGTCACTCATGTTTCAGAGGTCACCACATGGCAGGAGAGTGAAAATCATACATGTCAGTTATTTGGCAATTCAATTTCTTTGCTAGCAAATGAGATGGTGGTAGTTAATGGTGTTCAGTATGGGTGAGACATATGGGATCTGACCGCAGGCCTTTTCATCAAATCCTGCTGTCTTTGCAGGCAGCCAAATAAGTTCCATTTAAGAAATCCATTATGCACATCACAGCAAGGAGTTTGTACAGATTTGGCAATTTTTTAAACATTATTACTTGAATCAAGGTGTATAGATAGCATTGCAAAATATATGCAATGCCAAATATATAGCTTTGATGCAGCGTTTTCTTGGATAGCCAGAAGAGGGCATGCTTGCATGCTGCAAGACCTTTCTGCATAATTCAGATATATGTATTCTGCTGCTGTACCGCTATAATAAAAATGAATTTTAATAATAATAAACAAAATGCAGAGCTTATTTTT